ATAACAACATTCATACAAACAGTATACAGTTCCAATCTGATAGGACTACAGTACTTTCAATTGATGTTTCTATCCATGGCCTATAATATGGCCTGAATTGCCACCAGATCCTTATCCCTCATGTAGTGACAAGGCTTCATCCTGATTTGCAGTAGCAGCCTCAATTCCACCACACAATGTTTCACATCTTACTAATTTCTCAATGGTGTTTGTATATTATTGTCTTTTTACAAAAAAAATACATGGGAGAACATGACTTCGACCAGGAAGCACTTCCTTAATTCTTGACTTCAGCTTTCAGGTGATGCAGAATGAGCATTTGCTTTGGCTGTGGTTCATTCACTTCCATTCACTTGATTCTGTGGTCTGTGAAAATTAATTAAACAAACTAATTCAAAGAGCTTATCAATGCAACTGTGATGGTTTTAATGATCACATATGTATTTAAATTGTTTCTTTTTAATCAAAGGTTGTTTTTCAAAAAAAGAAAAATAAGTAGTCAGTATAATACAATATTAAATGCAGGTGGTGATGTTTAATTGGACATCAAAGTGTTGATAAATATTATTTGCTTAAGTCAGTTTTGATACCTATTAATTAATATATTTTTTTGTTATGTTGTGTCTAAGGATTCCTATGTAGATAAAGCATACTGTACTATTAATATAATAATAATTTTGTTATATTCTTTTCATGAAGACATTAAAATCAAACTAAGCCTGAATTACTGAAAAAAAATTACAAAAAACTGAATTGATTCAATTTGTGTAGTAATTGTTCTTGGTAGACAGTAGTAAATAATTGCTATATAATTGTGGATGGCTATTCTTGATTTGTCTTCATGGTCAGTTGTTTATGCTGGGTCGATTCATTGCCAACATTATTGTCTCAATATGCTTATTACAATATAACATCATCGTATTTGATTCATAATACTCTGGTTATACCCTGACCATTAAGAAGACGCACTGGGAAGCGTTGTTCACGGCATTGGACTGCGGCGAAAACTGATTCCCCCATCATTAATGGAACAGGCCCACGTCATGCTTGGCTGATTAGTTTTGATTTACATTTCGCAAGCCTAGTGCCATACGCAGCAAAAGTCCATTTCTAGTGTTGTTGTCAAATGCATTTCAAACCAGCCTGATTTTTTTATTTACGTTTTGGAATAGATTTGGAGAGGGCATTTGATCAAGTCAGACCTACGTTTTGAATTTGAATTACATTTTAAAAGAAATTAGAACTACATTTTGAAAAATTTGAACTACGTTTTGAAAAATTAGAACTTCGTTTTGGGAAACTAGATCTACATTTTGAGAAACGCCTACGTTTTGATAAATTAGACATTGAATTTTGCAATTACATTTTGATTTTAACATGGACTTTTGCTGCGTATGGCACCCCATAAATAAATGCCACTTAAATCTTCGTTTTAAGCTTAAATAACGATAAATAGGATGATATTCAATTAGGCCCATGTGGCCGAATCTAGGAAAAACGACCTGGTTAAAAAATGGCCAATTTTTATTAAAACCATGAGCTATAGCTCATACTTTTTTGGACGATTTTTTTGACCACACTTTTTTCAAGTTTTTTTTTTGTATTCCATGGCACCATGATCACAAGAGTCCTCTGTAGGTTGATAAATGCCACTTAAATCCTCGTTTTAAGC